GCTCCCAGTACTTCTGTTAGTCTCAAAGGTGCCACAGGACCCTCTGTTGCTTTTTATAGCTAGTATTGACACTTTACTTCTAATTATTAGTCAACAAATATATGCAGTCACATGCTTAAGTGTTACATCATAGGCAAGGGAAGAACAAGTGAAGGCTGGGGACTCAAATTCACAATTTATACTGGCTCCTGACCATCTCCAGGAAGGTCAGTAGCAAACAGTTCACGGAGCACAGTTCTAATCACTATAGCACTATAAGCATTTATAAGGCCATACTGTTCTTTACAGTAAGGCTACTTTATACCACTCTGGCAATGTAAAGGAGTCTTAAAATTTCTCACCTGTTTTATACTCCTGGAGGATTCACTAAAAACAATGGGAACAATTCACTAAGCAGGCAGGCTGCTACATTCTCTTCTGCCTGAGGGAACAGAGCCTGCCCCAGACCTACCTCTTCAGAAATACCCCAAAGTCCTGCCCCTCCATGCCAAGAGTGCTGCAATAGCGAGTGAGAGGGACACTGTGTGTGTGTGTGTGTCTGTCTGTCTGTCTCTCTCTCTCTCTCTCTCTCTCTCTCTCACATGACTACCCAGCCCCCCCCCACCCCGCTGGTGATTTACATTTCTACCGGCTGCTCTGGGTGCCCAAACAAACCTGTCTACACTGCCAGAGAGTGGGCGCATGACCGCTTTTGCAGCTTCCCTTTGCTTCTCCATCAGAAGTCATTTTTCTGCGGGTAAGCAAAGAAATCGGCAGGGGCCATGAATTCTGCACATGCGCAGTGATGCAGAATTCCCCCAGGAGTAATAAAGCTGTTCCAGTATTAGAGATCTGTACAGTGTGTGTATATATACAGAAAACTTTTGAGTATTACTCCTGTTGGTTCTCTTTTTAATCCGCTCCATCAGCATGATTGACCATATAATCCCACTTTTTATGCTGGCTTTGGACACTGGCATTGTGGTGGCACAATGGGGTGCTGGACCATGAGTAGGCCTCCTGGCACTACGATAATACAAATAATATCAGTTTGGGTCTTATGTGCCGCTTAATTCCAAGAGCTTGGAATATTAAGGTAAGAACAGGAAGAGGCAGGCAGAAGCTCCACCTATGAAGTGTTTCTAGGGAGAAAAAAATTCTTTCCTTTTGTCTTGGGAAATCTGCAAGCTTTTAAAGTATGTTCTGAGATGCCTGGTATTTATCTTTTGGATTCAGTAGCTTGTAGCAGTATTAGTTCAGGGACATTTGGAGCCCCTGCACAGCAAAGCAAATAGATCCTTCAGATGCAGTACCCAAGATTGCCTGTGACATTTCTCATCCATCTGTCTTAAATATGCCAAGTGGGGAAAGGAAGAGAGTAGGTATACATGTTTGCGAGTTAGACAGAGAAATAGTAGGTGGAGGTGTCCTATTAAATAGGAGAAAGTGGGAATCTCAACCAGGGCACAATGAAAAGAAAAGGAAGACATCTTGATTTATCAGGCAACTCACCCCAGAGCTCTCAGTGAGCATGAAGCATGCCATACTCCATACCATGCAACAGTGAGGCATAAACTTTACCCACATGAGCTTTGTAATCTGGATAGGATTGGGATGGGGCCTCATAAACAGGGGGTCCCCAGCAGCTGATTAACAGCATTGCCTGAACCAGGGCCGGCTTTAGCAAGTGCGGAGCCCGATTCCTGGGACTTGTACTCACCGGGCGGCGCTCCCAGTCTTTGGCGGCACTTCGGATTGCCGGCCAGGGGAGGGGGGTTGCGGGGCTGTGGGGCTGCCGCGCTCTGGCCGGAGCTCCAGCTGGGAGAGCAGGGCTGTGGGGCTTGCGGCGCTCCGGCCAGGGTCGCGGGGCCATGGGGCAGCCGTGCTCCGGCCGGGGTTGCGGGGCCACGGGGCTGCTGTGTTCCGGCCGGAGCTCCAGCCGCAAGAGCAGGGCCGCGGGGCTTGCCGCGCTCCTGCAGGGGCCGCGGGGCTGTCGCGCTCTGGCTGGAGCTCCAGCCGCAACAGTGGGGGGACCGCAGGGCTTGCCGCGCTCCGGCCGGCACTCTGGCCAGGGGAGCGGGGCCACGGAAGATGTAAATTAAAAAAAAAATTAAATTAAAAAAATTAAAAAGGCGCCTAAGGCGTGGGGCCCAATTCCGGGGAATCAGGCGAATCGGCTTAAAGCCGGCCCTGGCCTGAACTAGCCCCAGCTTGTAGAAACAGTTTCAATAGAGTGTGTGTTTGTGTGTGTATTGTATTTTTTCTCATCATATCACTAGGAATCTGTTGTCTTGCTGATAGTGTGTTTATCTTTATAGTCTAGCAGCGGTGAAGCCCTCTATGATGCTTCTTGAAGGCATAAAGTTGCATCTGAGGCGACCTGTTTGGATTAATGCAGACATTCTCCCTGGACCTAATGGAAGTAACACTGTTGTGGATGCAAAAAGATTTCTAGACACTGTAACTTCATTCTGCCCGGATGTGACCTTATCGTTGGGCTGGACAACTGGGTGGCAGCCTCAACAATGCAATAAAGGTAAAGATGGAAGATTTACACACTGCAAGGCTTGAAGTTGCCTCCACATTTGCCTGAATAACATAGATGCAATTTCTTTTGCATACATCTGTCAGTTTTTAAAAACTGTAATTAGTATAAATAAAATAGACTAAAAGACAATAATTTTATTAAATTTGTCATTTTGCAACCTAGTATAGAATTGGGAAATAGGGTTTATGAACATGTATAGATCCACTATATTTCTGTTACTGAAGTTAACTGTACACCTCTACCCCGATATAACGCTGTCCTTGGGAGGCAAAAAATCTTACTGCGTTATAGGTGAAACCGCGTTATATTGAACTTGCTTTGATCCGCTGGAGTGTGCAGCCCCGCCCCCCGGAGCGCTGCTTTACCGCGTTATATCCGAATTCATGTTATATCGGGCCGCGTTATATCGGGATAGAGGTGTATTTATTTTTTTAACCTGTTCCCTAGGGTATCAAGGCTTTTCTAGTGCTGCTGTCAGTCCTTCCAGCTGTCAATATTTCAGTCCCATCTTGGGCAAAACTTCCACTTAATTACTGCAAGATCAGCCCTTAGTATGAATTAATCCTTGTTCAGACTTCTGTAATAATTAGGAACAATGAGATGGTTCAAGACAGTTTGTTCGTTCAAACAAGATCCTTAATATGTCTTACTGTATTTTTTTTAAATTGTGAAGCTGAATTCTTTGCAAGGGTTTTGTAAATCAGGCCGTGTTCACTTCTGCATGCTGATTATCCATGAATTTTTAAAAAGTGAAATTTTAAAAAGTGAAAACGAATTTGACTATCTAAGGAAGTGTAATATGGGTTTAAATATTTAATTATAGTTCACTTCATTTTATGCATACCGGTGTTACTCAGGCCTGGTCTACACTACGAGTTTAGGTCGACTTTAGCAGCGTTAAATCGAATTAAGCCTGGACACGTTCACACGACGAAGCCCTTTCTTTCGACTTAAAGGGCCCTTTAAACCGGTTTCTTTATTCCACCTCCGACGAGGGGATTAGCGATAAAATCGGCCTTAGCGGGTCGGAATTGGGGTAGTGTGCACGGAATTCGACGTTATTGGCCTCCAGGAGCTATCCCACAGTGCTTCATTGTGACCGCTCTGGACAGCACTCTCAACTCAGATGCACTGACCAGGTAGACAGGAAAAGCCCCGCGAACGTTTGAATTTCATTTCCTGTTTGCCCAGCGTGGAGAGCACAGGTGACCACGCAGAGCTCATCAGCACAGGTAACCGTGATGGAGTCCCAGGATCGCAAAAGAGCTCCATCATGGACCAAACGGGAGGTACGGGATCTGCTCGCCATATGGGGAGATGAATCAGTGCTAGCTGAACTCCGTAGCAGTAAAAGAAATGGCAAAATATTAGAAAAGGTCTCCAAGGCCATGAAGGCCATAACAGGGACGCACAACAGTGCCGCGTGAAAATTAAGGAGCTACGGCAAGCCTACCACAAAGCCAGAGAAGCAAACGGAAGGTCCGGGGCAGAGCCGCAAACTTGCCGCTTCTACGCGGAGCTGCATGCCATTCTAGGGGGTGCAGTCACCACTACCCCAACCGTGTGCTATGACTCCCTCACTGGAGAAACCACAGGGAAGAGGGTTCGGGGTACGAGGAAGATGAGGATGGAGGTAATGTAGATAGCTCACAGCAGCAAGGAAGCAGGGAAATTGGTTTCCGCAACAGCCAGGATATGTTTGTCACGCTGGACCTGGAACCAGTAACCCCCGAACTCACCCAAGACCCTGAGGGCACACCGGGGACCTCTGGTGAGTGTACCTTTGTAAATATTACACATGGTTTAAAAGCAAGCGTGTTTAATGATTAATGATTAATTTGCCCTGGCAATCGCGGCCAGTACAGCTACTGGAAAAGTCTGTTAACGTGTATGGGGATGGAGCGGAAATCCTCCAGGGATATCTCCAGAAAGCTCTCCTTCATGTACTCCCAAAGCCTTTGCAAAAGGTTTCTGGGGAGGGCTGCCTTATCCCGTCCACCAT